TTATTTCGATTATTGGACAGCTCTTGAAAGTATTTGGACTCGACATCACCGAAGTGTTTGACCTTTTGAAACCCCTTAATGACTCTAGCGAGAAACACGCCATGGATAGCCGGCAAGAGGAGAGACAGGCCTTTTCAGCGAGCCCCAATACTGACGCCAATGCAAGGATTTCCGCCCCCAAAGCAGGAGCTAAATCAGGGACCCAGTCAAGCGCGCGAGCCAGCAATGTTGCCTCTCAATCCATTGCTCGCAAGCCAGTTTCATATGCCTCCAAAGCTGCTGCTAACGTTGCTAAGACGGGAGCAACTTATACGTCTACTGCAGCAGCTGGAGCTGCGAACGCTCGCCCTTCCGGTGGAGAAGAATGGAACACTGTCAGCTCGTCCAAGGCGCGTCGAAACAGGGCCAAGTCTAATGCAGCAGCGCCAGCTGCACAGACGTCAAAGAGAGTCACTCCTTCTCCTTTGATTTTGACCCTGGCTGCACCTGCCGGCAGCATCGATGCTCGCTCCTTTCGCACACGAGTCAATAGTGCATTGAAGGATGCGAAAGCGCCTGATGAGATCCGCCTAGCCAACGTGACTCTCAGCCAGCGACAGAATCTTCTTCTCCATCCGAACTTGACTACGGAAACTGATATGTTCCTTGCCTACAGGGAGATCTTCAAGCAGGAAGCCGAAGCGGAGGGACTCAAAGTTGAGAACGTGGAGATCCAGGAGAGCTGGCCAAAGGCGGTTATTCATGGCGTTAGCTTGTTGGATTACCCCGACAATGACGATGGACTCAAGTTTCTACAGGAGGAAATTGAGGGCTTTAACAAGGGAATCACTTTGAAGACTAGACCCTACTACTTGGGAGCGGATGGGACCCGAGAACATAAGGCATTTGGATCGGTAGTTGTGGCTTTTGCTACCAAGCGTGAGCTGGAGACAAAGGTTCAGCTGATGGGCCGCTGGCTCAGGATGTCTAGGTACACTCCTTTCAGGCCGATCAATCGATGCTCGAGATGTCAGTCTCTTGGCCATCAGCAGACCCGCTGCGCCCACCCAATCAGATGCGGAGTCTGTGCCGGCGGGCATACGACTCAGCAGCACCGCTGTGGCGATTGTGGGCAGCGAAAATGCGAGCACACCTTCTTCAAATGTGCCAACTGTGGAGGCCAACACGCCGCCTTCGACGACAAATGTCCAGAGTACATCAAAGCAAGGGACAGCTGGTCACGTCGCTTTGCCAGACAGCAGTCTGATGAGATGGAAATGGACTCGGAATCCTCGACTTCCACTCCTCCAGCAACCTCTCCCTCGACCGACGATCCTTCGACGACCTCCCCCTCCACCGACGCCCAACAACTCAACAGCGGAATGCACCATGAATAGTTACAACCCGACGCCATATCAAATTCGAATCATTCAGCACAACGCAGCGCGAAGCCTCGAGAACATGGTGGAAACATTCAACGCCTACAAAAGTGTTGCCGACATTATCATTTTTCAAGAGCCTGGCTTCAACGAACAACGACAAACAACTACGAAGCACCCCTGCTTCAGATTATGCCAGCCAATTACCAACATCCCGGGCCGGCCGCGTGTTTTCACCTTCATAAACACCAACAACCATTACCTCAACACACGAGCAGCAAACGAAGGAATATCAGATCTCAACTACATTCAGGGCACCTATGTTTTGACCGAGAAAATTCCCGAGTTTCTCCTCTTGAACATCTACAATGAGCAAATTCGCCAATCTCCTGATCCCTCATTCACTGTTGAACGCTCCCTGGTCAACTTTATCCCTCCAGCTCGCACAATTATGGCTGGAGACTTCAACGCTCACTGCTGGCTGTGGGATTCTCGCGCGCCTAAACAAAAGCTTCGTGAGGAGTTGGTGGCATACATGCACATGCACAGCTTTCAGCTGCTGAACGAGCCTGACAAAATCACCAGAGTCGGAAACCCTAAGAATAATGAGCGCTCTTCTGTCATTGATCTTACTTTTGCTACTAGTAGGATGATGGATGAGATTGAAGATTGGGCTGTTTTAGAGAGGGAAGGTACAGGATCTGATCATGAAGTCATTCATTTTTCTGTTATATCAAATGACTTGAGCCCGCCAAAGAAAGAAGAAGTTTCGAGGCAGAATTTGAAGAAGATTGACTGGGAGATCTTTAACGCTGAACTCAAGGCTCTTGGCGCTGAATGGATGGAGAATATAAGGAATGATAATAGTAATATTACTAACAACAGTGAAGAGCTCTCAGAAAAATCCTCGCCTGCCAGCTGCGCGACATCATCAGACAAGCAGTGGATGCTTCAGCACCTCTACTGCGAATCTGTGCGAAGTCGAAGCGTTGGTGGAACGAGGAAGTGCAGCAGGCGGTCAAGGACTTTCGACGAGCCCACAATCGATGGTACAAGGACAGGGACAATGTGGCGAAGTGGGAGGAAATGAAATGCCTCCGCTCACGTCGCAACAAGACAATTCTGAAAGCTCAAACAATTATGTGGCGAGATTATCTGGAGAATTTGGCTGGGACTGAGGTGTTTGGGGTGCTGAAATATCTGAAACCGCAGCCCAGCAACCAAACTCCTGATCTGCAAAGGCCTGAGGGAGGAATGGCAACGAGTTTTGAGGAGAAAAGCCAGGTGTTTCTTACCTCGATATTTCCAGCGCCGCCTGTTTTTGAGCCATCAGAGACTGCCGGCAGCGTTGATCAGCATCGATGGGAACCACTGCAAGAAAGCGAACTTAGAGATGCAATCATGGACTCGAACCCCAAAAAGGTGCCGGGTCCTGATGGTCTTCCCTTTGCTGTCTTGAAGAAGGCCTATCAATCGATCCCTGACCTGTTCTTTCATGTCTTTCGAACGCTGCTGGACTCTAGCCATCACCCTCGAGCCTGGCGCGAGGCGATCTGTGTGCTGATTCCAAAACCGCACAAACCAGACTATTCTGTTGCGAAAGCGTACCGGCCTATTTCTTTGCTGATGATGATGATGATGATGATGAATCTTTTTATTATAGTTTATTTGCAACAACTAGGTTATGACAGACTGTCTCCAACTTCTTCCGCCAATTTTTTTTATCTCCATTTTTCTAATCCAACTTCAACTTTTCCATCTCCCTGATAGGATATCCAAGTATGCCTGCCTGAAATGGAGGACAAGCTATCCAGTAGGTGCTTCAGTTCAACCATTGCCAGAAAGGGAAGGCGTGTAGTAAAGTCCATAGTATATAATCCATAAAATCCGGGGGATCTCATTTCTTTCACCGCTTTGTTGTAAACTTGGTGCTACTGCAGTGGGGGGTTCAATATAAATTTTGCAACCAAGACCATTCATTTTTTGCTGAAAATTATCAAGGTGAAAATTGGGGGGGTGTTCAATATTAGGCCAAAATCCAGGAAAAGCTCACAAGCGGGGCTCGAACCGTGGATCTTAAGGGAGCAATGCAGCGGCCATACCGCTGGGCCATATCACTGCTCCCTAGCCGGAGAAGTGGACGGTGAAAGAGAAATGGGCGGAGGATGATGATGATGATGATAAATCTCTGTTTTAAGTCCGTTGCAACAACTAGGTTATGACAGACTATCTCGCCCTCCTCAACTATATAATAAAACAAAATAGATCCTAAGATCGTGTCACAATAACAAATAATCAATAACAAATACATCTCCAAGTCAAAATAACACAAAGAAATTTGCAATATTCACTATAACATATTTCAAATAAGAGATAAAACTCCAAAAAGAAGTCAATAATAACTATCCAAGCTATCATCTTCCTTAAAAGGCCTCAGTGTTACCCATCCCACTCCAGGTCACCAAGTCCTACTCTCAAATCCACCAAACGATTGATCCACAACTCATCCCTCTGGCTCTGTATGAGAGCGATTTTCTGATGATACCAGTGACCAGTGCCGATGTGGGTCTTCTGAAGATATTTGACAAGTGCAGAAAGACCTTTGTCTGTCCACAGAATGCGGCTGAGCGTGCGTTCGGCCATAGGGATTTCTTCAAAGGCGCTATTTCGTTCATCTCTGTGGTGTGGACAAGAAAGAAGCACATGCTGGACTGACTGCAGTGGGATTCCACACCAACACTCTGGAGAAGGACGAGGCTCTCTGCCATGTCTTGCAAAGTAGCTGTTGAAGAAGCCATGTCCAGTTCGGAAGCTCACAATACAGCTAGCAATGCTGCGAGAGATATTCACCAGGGGCTTGTCAATAGAGAGCCGAGGTTTGCTTTCATAAGCACTGAAAACCTCGTGTTGAAACAGGGCATTCCATTCATAAAAACCGCGGTCATCGACTAGCTTATAAAGGAAGCGCAATGAACAGTCATGGTTGACATTGTCTGGCGACGAGGCTGCTTGAGTGGCTAAGCCAAGAGCGTGATTGCTGCCCTCAACTTTGGTAGCAGAGCGAAGCCAATAAATGGAGACTTTTGTGTTGGTTTTGTTGCGAATATTGCGGTTCTAATGGTATATTCGAATTGTTGAAGTTGTGGCGGTTCTGATGGTATATTTGGGAAGATTGTGGTGACTTTATTCACAAAGTTATTGCACATTTTGTGGTGAGAAAAGAGAAGGAGTTAAGGTTGTGTATTGTGCCACATCAGTGTGGCGTGTGAGTGTGGCGCAAGACAGTTGTTGAACTCTGGTGCCCTTGAGATGGATGTTAGGGCAGAGAAGGTCTTTGGGAAAATTTTGTACATAAAAAGGGCCCCTCCTACCTTCCTAGCTCGTTGTCAGAAAACCATACAACAAACCAAAGCTAATATTTCTGATCAACGACTGGGTAAGGCTTCTTTGTATTATTGTCAGAAAACAATACAACAAACCAAAGCTAATATTTCTGATCAACGACTAGTTAATAATATATTGTCTACTCTATCACTATGAGCGTCCCTGAAGAATACAAGTCTCTGGATACTTCCTTTAAGGAATGTACTGCCAGTTTCAAACACTTCCTTTAAGGAATGCACTGCCAGTTTCAAACAGGTTATGACGTCCCCCTCTTCCGTTCGCTGCGCTGAAGGGTCGCTGCTACGTGATTCGAGCAATTTTTATGCCTGGTCGCAACACATCCTCATGATGGCCAGAGATTTTGATTATGGTGATCTCCTGGCCGCCTACCTTAAGGACGGACGCACCACTATCGTCTTCTACTTCGGCGTGACGGACCCCAACGCCCACGCCGTCCTGGCTTTGCTGCCCTCGTTCACTCAGCTGGTGGCTCAGATGGATAAACTCTGTGATCGCATTGTTTCTTCCTCCGTCTCTGAGGATGCCAAGGGATCTTTCTACAATGATCGCATCAAGGACGAACCTCACCGCGGTGCCTACAAATTAATGCGCGCTGAGCATGGTCTTGCCCTCACCAAGGATATCCCGCCGTTCTTTTCCTCTCTCTGGTTTGCCAAGGGCTCCTTGCACAATCGCACTCAAAAGGATCTCACATCCTTCATTCAACAATTGCGTCAGTTGCTTAAGGGAGCGGTTGAAAAATTTTCACCCCCCAAGAGCACCTCTGAAAAAGATGCTCAATCTGAGAAGTTAGAGATGCTCCTTGAGGCAATTACTAATGGGACGCAACCGCTGGAGCTGCCTAACCAATTGTCTAATGTTATTTCGATCATTGCCCAGCTTGTGAAAGTATATGGACTCGACATCACCGGAGTGATTAACCTTTTGAAAGCCCTTAACGACTCTAACGAGAAGTGTTGAAATTCACAATTTCTTGTTGTGCCTACAAACCTTTTTCATAGGGTTTTATATTATTTTTATTGATTTTATTATATTTATTGTGTTGAAAGTGTTGATGTGGAAAGAGAGTTTTATTATGTGCGGCTGTTGTGCGGCTCAAAACGCTCACCACGTTTTTGTTATGTCTTTGAGCTTTGAGCCGCACCCTTTTGTGCTTATAAGGAGCCTCTCCCTTCCACCTTTCCTACTCGCTATCAGTCTTACTCCTTACTATTCCGGGCTACTCCCGTTCTCTTGTTTATTGTTTACTGATCCACGAGTAGCCCTCTGAATATATTCATTCTTCACTATAATTTGACGCTATGAGTTCCTCTACCGCTAGTAGACCTTCTCCTGCTGCTGCCATTGGAGAACTTATGTCTGCAAAGGCAGTAGAACTTCAACAAGAAGCACGCCATGGATAGCCAGGAAGAGGAGAGACAGGCCTCTTCAGCGAGCCCCAATACTGACGCCAATGCAAGGATTTCCGCCCCCAAAGCAGGAGCTAAATCAGGGACCCAGTCAAGCGCGCGAGCCAGCAATGTTGCCTCTCAATCCATTGCTCGCAAGCCAGTTTCATATGCCTCCAAAGCTGCTGCTAACGTTGCTAAGACGGGAGCAACTTATACGTCTACTGCAGCAGCTGGAGCTGCGAACGCTCGCCCTTCCGGTGGAGAAGAATGGAACACTGTCAGCTCGTCCAAGGCGCGTCGAAACAGGGCCAAGTCTAATGCAGCAGCGCCAGCTGCACAGACGTCAAAGAGAGTCACTCCTTCTCCTTTGATTTTGACCCTGGCTGCACCTGCCGGCAGCATCGATGCTCGCTCCTTTCGCACACGAGTCAATAGTGCATTGAAGGATGCGAAAGCGCCTGATGAGATCCGCCTAGCCAACGTGACTCTCAGCCAGCGACAGAATCTTCTTCTCCATCCGAACTTGACTACGGAAACTGATATGTTCCTTGCCTACAGGGAGATCTTCAAGCAGGAAGCCGAAGCGGAGGGACTCAAAGTTGAGAGCGTGGAGATCCAGGAGAGCTGGCCAAAGGCGGTTATTCATGGCGTTAGCTTGTTGGATTACCCCGACAATGACGATGGACTCAAGTTTCTTCAGGAGGAAATTGAGGGCTTTAACAAGGGAATCACTTTGAAGACTAGACCCTACTACTTGGGAGCGGATGAGACCCGAGAACATAAGGCATTTGGATTGGTAGTTGTGGCTTTTGCTACCAAGCGTGAGTTGGAAAAGGTTCTGATGACAAAGGTTCAGCTGATGGGCCGCTGGCTCAGGACGTCTAGGTACACTCCTTTCAGGCCGATCGATCGATGCTCGAGATGTCAGTCTCTTGGCCATCAGCAGACCCGCTGCGCCCACCCAATCAGATGCGGAGTCTGTGCCGGCGGGCATACGACTCAGCAGCACCGCTGTGGCGATTGTGGGCAGCGAAAATGCGAGCACACCTTCTTCAAATGTGCCAACTGTGGAGGCCAACACGCCGCCTTCGACGACAAATGTCCAGAGTACGTCAAAGCAAGGGACAGCTGGTCACGCCGCTTTGCCAGACAGGAGTCCGACGAGATGGAAATGGACTCGGAATCCTCGACTTCCACTCCTCCAGAAACCTCTCCCTCGACCGACGATTATTCGACGCCCTCCCCTTCCACCGACGCCCAACAACTCAACAGCGGAATGCACCATGAATAGTTACAACTCAACGCCATATCAAATTCGAATCATTCAACACAACACAGCTAAAGGCTCCGTGAACATGATACAAACCTTCAAGGACTACAAAGACACTGCCGACATTATGATATTTCAGGAGCCAGCCTTTGATACAAGAGCCAGGAAACCTCCTGACCTTGGGTGCTTTGAACTATGCCAGCCAATCACCAGCATCCCAGGTCGGCCACAGGTTCTCACATACAAGAACACCAACAACCCTTATCTCAACACACGACCTGCATACGAAGGAATATCGGACCACAACTACATTCAAGGCACCTACATTTCGACGGAGAAGATCCCCGAGTTTCTCCTCTTGAACATCTACAATGAGCAAATTCGCCAATCTTCTGATCCCTCATTCACGGTTGAACGCTCCCTGGTCAACTTTGTCCCACCAGCTCGCACAATTATGGCCGGAGACTTCAACGCTCACTGCTGGCTGTGGGATTCTGGTGTGCCTAGACAAAAGCATCATGAGGAGTTGGTGGCATACATGCACAGGCACAGCTTTCAGCTTCTCAATGAGCCTGACAAAATCACCAGAATCGGAAACCCTAAGAATGATGAGCGCTCTTCTGTCATTGATCTTACTTTTGCTACTAGCAGGATGATGGATGAGATTGAAGATTGGGCAGTTTTAGAGAGGGAAGGTACGGGATCTGATCATGAAGTCATTCATTTTTCTGTTATATCAAATGACTTGAGCCCGCCAAAGAAAGAAGAAGTTTCGAGGCAGAATTTGAAGAAGATTGACTGGGAGATCTTTAACGCTGAACTCAAGGCTCTTGGCGCTGAATGGATGGAGAATATAAGGAATGATAATAGTAATATTACTAACAACAGTGAAGAGCTCTCAGAAAAATCCTCGCCTGCCAGCTGCGCGACATCATCAGACAAGCAGTGGATGCTTCAGCACCTCTACTGCGAATCTGTGCGAAGTCGAAGCGTTGGTGGAACGAGGAAGTGCAGCAGGCGGTCAAGGACTTTCGACGAGCCCACAATCGATGGTACAAGGACAGGGACAATGTGGCGAAGTGGGAGGAAATGAAATGCCTCCGCTCACGTCGCAACAAGACAATTCTGAAAGCTCAAACAATTATGTGGCGAGATTATCTGGAGAATTTGGCTGGGACTGAGGTGTTTGGGGTGCTGAAATATCTGAAACCGCAGCCCAGCAACCAAACTCCTGATCTGCAAAGGCCTGAGGGAGGAATGGCAACGAGTTTTGAGGAGAAAAGCCAGGTGTTTCTTACCTCAATGTTTCCAGCGCCGCCTGTTTTTGAGCCATCAGAGACTGCCGGCAGCGTTGATCAGCATCGATGGGAACCACTGCAAGAAAGCGAACTTAGAGATGCAATCATGGACTCGAACCCCAAAAAGGCGCCGGGTCCTGATGGTCTTACCTTTGCTGTCTTGAAACGGGCTTATCATGCGATCCCCGACCTGTTCTTTCATGTCTTTCGAACGCTGCTGGACTCTGGCCATCACCCTCGTGCCTGGCGCGAGGCGATCTGTGTACTGATTCCAAAACCGCACAAACCAGACTACTCTGTTGCGAAAGCGTACCGGCCTATTTCTTTGCTGAATTGCCTCGGCAAAATCTCAGAGAAAATCATGGCAACTCGGATGGCATTCATTGCAGAAGAGAACAGTCTCCTGGATCAATATCAGATGGGAGGTCGAGCTCAGCGATCAGCGGTGGATGCAGCAATGCTTCTGCTGCACGAGCGTCAGCTTGCAAAGTTGAGAGGGGAACAGACTACAGCACTTTTTATTGATGTCAAGGGAGCTTTCGATCACGTGTCTCGCGAGCGGCTTCTTCAGACGCTTAGAGAGATGGGATTTGCAGCTCAAGTGACGTCATGGGTGGCTCAATTTTTGACTGGGAGAAGTATCGCCTTTGCTTTTGATCGCAAAGTGGGAGAGATGCAAGCTGTGTCGACCGGTATTCCTCAGGGATCACCGCTGTCTCCTCTCTTGTTCCTTCTCTATTTGCGCCCTCTTTTTTCAAGGTTGAATGCGAAGCACAAGCTGGTCTTTTGTCCTAGCTATGTCGATGACGTTGCGCTGGTTTATTCCAGTAAGTCGATCGCAAAAAATGTTAAAGAATTGACTAACGCGCTCGCGACGGCTGTTGAATGGGGCAGAGAAAATGCCGTGGCCTTTGACGACAGCAAGTCCGAGCTTATTCATTTTAGCAGCTTTCGGAAACGACCAACCGACACTTTGAAGACTCCTTCCGGCACAGTACTGAAGCCGGCGCGCGTCGTACGCTGGCTAGGTGTTTTCTTTGACGACAAGATCGGATTTCAACAACATGTTAAGCGAAGGCTGGTGCAGGCAACACGCGCGCTCATGTCTTTTCGACGGCTCGGCAAATCGACAGGCGGCCTCTCGCACTCATCCTTCCGCCAGATCTATATCGCTTGCATCACTTCTCTTGCAGACTACGGGACAGAGCTCTACTGGACCGAGAAAGTGGGAATAACTGGGAGATTCACAAAGCTACAGAATGACGCGCTCAGGATGATTTTGGGCGGGTTTATGTCCTCTCCAATTGCAGCGCTTGAATGTGAGGCAGCGATCCCTCCGGTGGCCATCAGACTCCGACGACGAATGCGAAAGTACGCTCTTCGACTGGCAACACTCCCAAGTACTCATCCTTTGGTTCCAAGATGCGACGCGCTTCCCAACCACCCGGAGGAGTCTCGTACATCTCCTGCTGCGCCTCATGGGAGATGGTTCCAGCCTGGACCGCAAGTGAGCCTTCAATGTCGACTAGACTACTTGTTAAAGACTATTCAGCTGGATGTTCAACCCCAAACGACGACTGAGACGTTCAATGTTAGGGAATACCCACCCTGGCGAGTTCCGAACATCTCTAGCAGGCTTGAGAGATTACCAGAAAAGGAAATTTTGGAAATCATTGGCGAGGGCTGGAATATCTACACTCGCTCATTTTGCAACGCTGAGAACAACGCCGCTGGCTGGGCTTCCACTGTCGAATATGGGGGGCGCTTCAGGCATGATGAGTTTGGCTTTTTGGGCCTTCAATCAGATCTTTATTCTGCGGCGATAACCGCCTTAGCGAAGGCCTCAACTTGGGCAACAAAGCATCGACTGTCAAACGAGGCCATCCATTTCTTCACTGATCGATCATCATCATCGACTGTCAAACGAGGCCATCCATTTCTTCACTGATGTCCCTGCTGTCTTGAAACGCCTGGAGAAGCCTCGGCGCGCCCCCAATCAACACCAAGCCACTGCGATCTATCGAGCCATCAATCGACTGTCTGAAATCAGCACTAAAGTCTCTA